CTGTACTGTATGCTTCCCGAAAAGTATCAGATCCTACTGCGCAAGAATATCACCAAGAAATAACCGTTTTTTTCTTCAGATGAGGCCTACAGCGACATCAATGCCAACGCTATGAAGACCGCTACGGAGCTTGGCTTAGATGATATGAGATTGGTTACTTGCTAAGACGCAGTGTTTTTTGTAACATGGAAAGACGACAAGACCGGGGTCACTGACTTCCTCCCCTGCCAGCTAAAACCTCCCGCGACATGTATAGGCATGGTCAGCCAGGCAGTTTTAGATGGGATCATTGGCATGGTACGCAGTACCGTGAGCCCCAACTTGTGGCACCACAGAAAGTCGGTCATAAATTGTCTCCGCTACTTCAACGAGAAGCCAAAGAATTTCTGTTGTTCCCTTTAGCGAATTTTTATCCATCAATCACCAGAAAGCTCTTACTAGAGGCATTATCTTATGCCAGGTTGTATGTCAAAATTCCCCAGAGAGATGGTGACATATTGCTGCAGTCCAAGAATTCCTTGCATTTTGACTGCGGCGAAGCCTGGATGAAGAAAGAGAACAATAACGCTTTTGAAGTAAAGATGGGATCGTTTGATCTCGCCAAAGTGTGCGAGTTGGTTGGTGAATACACCCTAAGTAAACTTAGGCTTCGTCTTGAGGAAAAAAGCGTCGGATTATACAGCAATGATGGTTTCGCCATCCTGAGACACGCCTCCGGGCATGATGCGGAACTCACCCGGGTACCTACCAATCTTATCACAAACCGAATAGCACATCATAATATATGGACTTGCAGTCAAACCACCCACCAAAAATCCGGAAGATTATTCCTGCTGGCGTAATGAAGCGGATAAGCAGCATTCCGTGTAACGAGAAGGTTTTCGAAGATACCAAACTGCCACACCAGTATGCCTTTGTCGCCAGCGGTCGTCCGCAGTAAATGCAGTTCGTTGATAATGTAGCTGGTAAAAAGAAGGTGACCGAGAGGGAGGAGGAACACTGAGTCCTTCTATATTTTTACTGAAAGCCATATGGTGCACACAATGGGTACATGCAGCAACCATTATGGTGGGGGCCAGGCGCTCCGTCGACCAACTGGTCTAGACATCATCATGCTCTGGACGCACCAGATAAATGGAAGTTTGAGGGAAAGAGAAAGAACAGGGAAGCGGAAGGAGAGGGGGGGGGGGGAGATTGAGAAAGAGAGTACATGAGAGCGTGTAGTTCAGCAAGTTCATGCAGCAGGCTTACAAGACTTGCTTGCATCCAGTTGCTGGTCAAAAGGTGAAGGTGGACCATCTTCTTGAACTGCAGCATCCCGTTCTTGTATGGCTGTTGTGTGAGGATTCTCCGAGGTAGGCAGTTTCATGCGCTCAGCCCGCAAGCAGGGAGAGCATTGGCCATGGTTGAGCGGGAACGGCAAGGCAGGCACACGGGAAAGTAATGTTACTGGCATCCCTGGGAGGAGAGACGGGTGTTGGGGGTTTCATCCGCCAGCTGGAGAGGTTTGGGCATAATTGCTGTCAAGTGGCTCGTCGGCGGGAGGAAGCAGAGCTTATACAGGAAGCTCAGGGCCGCCACCCTGCGCCTATGCTCCAGGCTTGGTACGGAGACTCGAGGGCCTATCAGCTTTAGTGCCTGTGTTGTACAGCGTCCAGGCGGGCCAGTGGAGCCCCCATCCAGACTAGACAGGAGTACTCCATGGTTGGTTGTATGAAGCCGTTGTACACAGCAATACGGCCAGGTGCGGTCAGAAGTGGCGCCATCTGGAGAAAGTGGAAGCGTTGGTGGGCCCTGGTGGCAACCTGGCGTATGTGGGCCAAGAATCGCAGTGTTGTGTCGAACAAAACCCCGTGGAGCTTTATCTCGCCCACTTCAGGCACCCTGGTACCGTTGAACAGTATGTGGGGAAGAGGTGTTGGCGGACGGTGAAAGTCAATCATGAGTGCATGGGACTTGGTCGGTTCGAAAGCCATTTTCCACTCTGCACCCCATCGAGCGATGGAGTTCACGGCAAGCTGAAGCTGGGTCGCACTCTCCGGGATGTCACACGTGGCCGCAATACATTGGTAGACGGTGGTATCATCTGCGTATACACCCAGAGAGGTGCTATCCGGTATTACTTCCTCACAGTCGTTTATGTAAACCAGAAACAGGGTTGGACCCAGGATGCTGCCCTGGGGACCCCAGAAAGCACAGGGTATTCCAATGACTGTTGTACTCCGACTACAGCACGTAGTTGCCGGCAGCAGAGGTAGTTTGAGAGCCAGACAAGGATCACTGATGCCGCATGCCTCTGCTTTATGGAGGACACCTCGATGTGAAACCTTGTCGAACTTCTCGGCGATGTTGATGGCCAGTGCATGTACCATGCCGCCGCTCGCCGCAGTGGATGACCAGTCGTTGTGCAGCTTCATTAACATATCTGATGTACCCAGTTCCTTCCGGAAGCCATATTGCCGAGAGGAAAATACACCGTGCTTAGAGAAAACAGTGGTTGCCAATTGTTTCCACTGTTTTGGAGAGAATGCAGAGGAGAGACACCGGGCGCCAGTTGCTCAGGTCTGATCTAGCTTTCTTCTTGTGAATCGCAACAACCCGGGCAACCTTCCACAGCCTCGGTTGCACTTGCTGCCGAAAGCACAAGGAGAACAGCCGGTCGGCATGCAAGCAGAGCTCGTTGTCACAATTCTTCAGCACCCTGTGGCTTTCATGGGATTCAGTCTTCTGAGCTCTCTTCTGACAGTATCCGTTCAAAAGTGGACGGTAGTAAGCCGAGACTCGGTGCGAGGTGTTATAGGTGGCAGATCGTCTGATAGCAGATCGTTTGGAAAGTCATCTGCTCCGAGGCTGCACTTTGACGAAAAGAACGGGCCAAAGCGCTCTGCTTTCTGGGAGTTGGCCGTGACCCGGACGCCGTTAGTGTCAACAAGTGTTTGTATGGGTGTGCTGCGCCCACTACCACCTGCTTGCTTCAGCGTGGACCACCACTCTCGATCAGACATGCTCCCACGTGAAATTTTGTCGCTCGGCGTGGCAAGGCGTATTGCCTGCGCCTGGCGCAGATAGTGAGTGCAACACCTGGTCGCCTCAAGGGCCCCCAGTCGTAGCTGTGGACGAGGAGTCGCGCAGGAGCGGTCCCAAGCTTCCTGTGTTGCCTTCGCCTGTGCTGAACAGTCAGGAGTCCACCAAGGAGGGTCAGACGGGCGGGTTACAAGGTCACAGGACGGTATGAATTGCTTCATTCCTTGTGAAATGATGTCGGTGACACTATGACATGATTTGTTGGGACATTTACTGGTGGCTGCGGTCTAGTCAGATTGACGATAAAAACGAGAAAGTCGAGGCCGGTCCGCTAGGTTGTAGGGCCAGAATACTCGTTTCGTGGGACGTTCCTCCGACACTTGTGTGGGAAATTCAGGTATCAGAGTTACATCCGAGGCGCCAAGGGGAGGTTTGCAACGGACTGTTACATCAGAAAGATAGTCAGACATAATCAGATCCAATATATTGTCCCCTCGGGTCTTCATCGTAACATGTTGTTCCAGGCCATGGCTAACGCACCTATCCTCAGGGAAAAATCCTTTTTTGCGTGCCTTTGGAGCGAGTGAGAAAAGGCACAGTAACGTAGAGGCTTGAAGTTGATTGTCTCAAAAATAATTTGGAGCATCAGCAAATTGAATTTTCGAGTGAAATTCGAGAATCGTCACTACAGGCACTCAAAGAGTCGAAACTAGGGCTTCTTTTGCCTGAAAAAGGCCTGCAAACAGAACAGTAGTTTTGAATGCAACTCACGCGCTCCATACACTAGTACGTACATGGCGCTGTGGTCTTGCACGGAGCTACAGTAACGTTACTAGTACATGATGGAGCGGTACAACGGCTGCGAGAAACATCAGCAACTCTGTTATATCCCGGTGATCTTCAGCCAGGAGGAGAAGCGAGTCCAACCAATCGACTTGCAACACCCACAGCGCATCTCAAAATGTTTCCTTCTCAAGCTCGAGAAGAACTACAGACTGCAGTACTTACTAGAGTGGCGGAGTCAAAAATTGCTGCTACATGCTGAACCTCTTTTTCATTCGAATTTTCGCACAGTCTTTCAATTTGGCACGTCCGTAATGGAACCGAAATTTGATTTGCTGATGCTCCGTAGTATGTGTGGATTCTGCGATGGAGGAGAGTGAAATGGCGTCGAGGGACGATTTTACTTGCATACCAGGCTTGGGGACTATTTTGCCGTGTTCCTGCGCCTTATATGTGGAGGTTGCTCCATGGAACCTTGTACCATCGCGTTGTTCGCACCAGGAGGTTTCCAAAGAGCACAACATTGTAAAAATCGAGTGAAGGAAGCTAAAGTTATGACCTCAGTTTGGAGGTGAAAATTGGGCCAAATTTCTAATTGTGCTTCAGGATGTGCTAGTAATCAATGCGCAAAGGGTTAAAATTCCTTTTCAGTCACTTTCAGATAGCGGAATGACATGTCAGTTCGACCTGTTCTACAATATTTCCACTTTATAGCTACCCAGCTTATGTTACTACTGTACTAGTAATTAATGTTGTGAGTATTTTGTTACACTCTTTTTGCTAAGGATCTCTAGAAGTCCTTTTATCCCCTTTTAAACTCACTCAACCAATGTGCGTCTGGTACTTTCGGTTTGTCAAGTACTAGCAGTAGTTTGGGATTGAGCTTATCGAAGAGTGTGCCTATAATGGGAGCAGAAACCCCTCCCATCCTCCCCTCCCCTCCTCCCTACACCCCCCCCCCCCCCCCACATCCTGGGTAGTGTAAGAGGAATTGTGAGTTTTTTTAGGCTGAATATATTATTGAACCGTCTCTCCTGAGATGACAGCTATACCATAGCTCCTTGTTTTTAACATCACTGGTCTAAATTTTTCGAATCCTGGTAGTTGCAGTCAATTTGTCTTTAGACTTTTGGTCCCTTTTCAGCACCTTCAACTAATGAATAGTCCTGTTGGTGACTGTTTGTGTGCTGTAGCTGGTTCGTACACCTCTCCACATAGCCTGCAAGGAAGGCTTTCCTGAGTGTGCTGAGATATTGTGCAATGCTAAAGCGCAGGTTAATTTGAGAGACTATGTAAGTATGCATATGTCATTGACTTTCAAGAACTGCGGCACATTTGGGAGCTGTGAGTGCACCTATGCAGTGTCTTCATTTGGATTTCAAGCCAATCAGGCACACTTGTACTTGGCATAACCTATGCAACCGGGCCAGCGCCGGGTCTGTCCAAGTGTGGCTACTGCATTACAGAGTTGTAACTATTTAAGACTCCCCAATGTATATTGACTATTATATTCCCATGCGGGTCACAGGTGACCCGGTGTTCTTTTTCCAAACGGCTTCAAATATGCCCAAACTGGGTCGCTGACTCGGCTGACCCGGCTCTGGAGCAGACAAAGCTATCCAGTATCGCACCGAATGGGGCAAATATATAAATTTTCTTTCAACGCAGGTGGTAGTTTCAGCCAATGAGTTGCGCAACCTGTACTGTATGCTTACCGAAAAGTATCAGATCCTACTGCGGAGGAATATCACCAAGAAATAACCGTATTTTCAGATGAGGCCTACAGCGACATCAATGCCAAAGCTGTGAAGACCACTACAGAGCTTGGCTTAGATGATATGAGATTGGTTACTTGCTAAGATGCAATGTGTTTTGTAACATGGAAAGACGACAAGACCGGGTTCACTGATTTTCTCCACTGCCAAGTAAAACCTCCCGCAACATGTAAAATAGGCATGGTCAGCCAGGCAGTTTTAGATGGGATCGTACCGTGAGCCTCAACTTGTGGCACCACAGAAAGTCGGTCATTAACTGGCTCGGCTAGTTTCTTCAAGGAGAAGCCAAAGAACTACTGGTGTTCCCTTTAGCGAATTTTTATCCATCAATCCCCAAAAAGCTCTTCCTAGAGGCATTATCTTATGCCCGGTTGTATGTCAAAATTCCCCAGAGAGATGGTGACATAATGCTGCAGGCCAAGAATTACTTGCATTTTGACTGCGGCGAAGCCTGGATGAAAAAAGAGAACAATAACGCTTTTGAAGTAAAGATGGGATCGTTTGCTGTCGCCAAAGTGTGCGAGTTGGTGGGTGAATACATCCTAAGTAAACTGAGGCTTCTTCTTGAGGAAAAAAGCGTCGGATTATGCAGCAATGATGGTTTCGCCATCCTGAGCCACGTCTCCGGGCATGATGCGGAACTCATGCGGGTACCTACCAATCTTATCGCAAACCGAATAGCCCTCATCATAATATATGGACTTGCAGTCAAACCACCCACCAAAAATCCGATTATCCCGGCTGGCGTAATGAAGCGGATAAGCAGCATTCCGTGTAACGAGAAAGTTTTCGAAGATACCAGACTGCCATACCAGTATGCCTTTGTCGCCATCGGTCATCCATAGTAAATGCAGTTTGTTGATAATGCAGCTGGTAAAAAGAAGGCGACCCAGAGGGAGGAGGAACACTGAGTCCTTTTATATTTTTACTAAAAGCCATATGGTGCACACAATGGGAACATGCAGCAAACATGGTGGTGGGGGGGCAGGCGCTCCGTCGACCAACTGGTCTAGACATCGTCATGGTCTGGACGCACCAGATTAATGGAAGTTTGAGGGAAAGATAAAGAACCGGGGAAGCGGGAGGAGACGGGGGGGGGGGGGGGGGGATTGAGAAAGAGAGTACATTAGAGCGTGTAGTTCAGCAAGTTCTTGTAACAGGCTTACAAGACTTGCTTGCATCCAGTTGCTGGTCAAGATGTGAAGGTGGACCATCTTCTTGAACTGCAGCGTCCCATCCTTGTATGGCTGCTGTGTGAGGATTCTCCGAGGTAGTAAGTTGCATGCGCTCAGCACGCAAGCAGGGAGAGCATTGGCCATGGTTGAGCGGGAACGGCAAGGAAGGCACACGGGATAGTAATGTTACTGGCGTCCCTGGGAGGAGAGACGGGTGTTGGGGGTTTCATCCGCCAGCTGGAGAGGTTTGGGCATAATTGCTTTCAAGTGGCTCGTCGGTGGGAGGAAGCAGAGCCTGTACATGAAGCTCAGGGCAGCCACCCTGCGCCTATGCTCCAGGCTTGGTACGGAGACTCGAGGGCCTATCAGCTTTAGTGCCTGTGTTGTACAGCGTCCAGGCGGGCCAGTCGAGTCCCCTTCCAGACTAGACAGCAGTACTCCATGGTTGGCCGTATGAAGCCGTTGTACACAGCAAAACGGCCCGGTGCTGTCAGAAGCGGCGCCACCTTCCGGAGAAAGTGGAGGCGTTGGAGGGCCCTGGTGGCAACCTGGCGTATATGGGCCGAGAATCGCAGTGTTATGTCGAACAAAACCCCGAGGAGCTTGACCTCGCCCACTTCAGGCACCCTGGTACCGTTGAACAGTATGTGGGGAAGAGGTGTTGGCGGACGGTGAAAGTCAATTTTGAGTGCCTGAGACTTGGTCGGTTCGAAAGCTATTTTCCACTCCGCACCCCATCGGGCGATGGAGTCCACAGCAAGCTGAAGCTGGATCGCACTCTCCGGGATGTCACACGTGGCCGCAATGCATTGGTAGACTGTGGTATCATCTGCGTATACACCCAAAGAGGTACTATCCGGTATTATTTCCTCACAGTCGTTTATGTAAACCAGAAACAGGGTTGTGCCCAGGGTACTGCCTTGGGAGACCCCAGAAAGCACAGGGTATTCCGATGACTGTTGTCCTCCGACTACAGCAAGTAGTTGTCGGCAGCAGAGGTAGTTTGAGAGCCAGCAAAGGAGCGGATCACTGAGTCCGCATCCCTCTGCTGGACACCTCGATGTGAAACCTTGTCGAACGCCCCGGCGATGTCGATGGCCAGTACAGGTACCATGCCACCGCTTGCCACAGTGGATGACCAGTTGTTGTGCAGCTTTATTTACAGATCTGATGTACCGAGTCCCTTCCGGAAGCCATATTGCCGAGAGATTACACCAAGCTTAGAGAAAAAGTTCATGATACAGTCATTACCAATTGTTTCCATTGTCTTGGAGAGAATGCAGAGGAGAGACACCGGACGCCAGTTGCGCAGGTCTGATCTAGCTTGCTTCTTGTTAATCGGAACAACCCGGGCGACCTTCTACAACCTCGGTTGCACTTGCTGCCGAAAGCACAAGGAGAACCGCCGGGCGACAGGCAAGCAGAGCTCCATGGCACAATTCTTCAGCACCCTGTGGCTTTCATGGCATTCAGTTTTCTGAGCTCTCTTCTGACAGTATCCGGTCGACAGTGGACGGTAGAAAGCCGAGACTCAATGCGAGGTGTTATAGGTGGCAGATCGTCTGATAGCAGATCGTTTGGAATGTCATCTGCTCCGAGGCTGCACTTTGATGAAAAGAACATGCCAAAGCGCTCTGCTTTCTGGGAGTTGGCCGTAACCCGGATGCCATTAGTGTCAACAAGAGCTGGCATGGTTGTGCTGCGCCCACTACCACCTGCTTGCTTCAGCATGGACCACCACTCTCGATCAGACATGCTCCCACGTGAAATTGTGTCCATCGGTGTGGCAAGGCGTATTGCCTGCGCCTGGCGCAGATAGTGAGTGCAACTCCTGGTCGCCTCCAGGGCCTCCAGTCGTAGCTGTGGACGAGGAGTCGTGCAGGAGCGGTCCTAAGCTTCCTGTTTTGCCTTCAACCGTGCTGAACATTCAGGAGTCCACCAAGGAGGGTCAGACGGGTGGGTTACAAGGTCACGAGATGGTATGAATTGCTTCATGCCTTGTGTAATGATCTCGGTGACATTATGACATGATTTGTTGGGACATTGACTGAGGGCTGTGCTCTAGTCAGATTGACGATAAAAATGAGAAAGTCGAGGCCAGTTCGCTAGGTTGTAGCGCCAGACTCGTTTCGTTGAAGGTTCCTCCGACATTTGTGTGGGAAATTCAGCTATCAGAGTTACATTCGAGGCGGCAAGGGAGGGTTTGCAAAGGACTGTTACGTCAGAAAGATAGTCAGACATAATCAGATCCAGCATATTGTCCCCTCGGGTCTTCATCGTAACATGTTGTTCCAGGCCGTGGCTAATGCACCTATCCTCAGGACATTCCCCTGGAGGAATAGTTGTGTGGCTTCCTAACCACAAGCCGCTATGCACATTGAAGTCACCAGCGAGGATAATCTTCAACCCATGCTGCCTAACTCTGTCAAGAGTTGCATCAAGGTTCGAAGAGTTTGGTCACAGTGCCCTGACAGGAGCCTGACCTACAGACAGCGCCAATGACAGTGTTCGTATGGGGGCCGTGGAGACAGATGCCCAAACATTTTCATGAACACCACAGTCGATGTCATGGAGGTGCTGAAAGGCAATGCCGTCCCTAGTAGTCCTTATGCCGGTTGCGTCATACCAAGGATGTCACGCACGGGGCCGCGACCCGCTTGGGTGTTGTTTAAGCTCCTCGATCGTTTTCGAATTATTTCAATACTTCAGTATCTTGCATCAAGACATTGTTCGAGCGATGGCAAATGCAAGTGTTTTGACACTCGTTGAGACGGATATTCCTGGCTCTTCCTTGAAAGGGAGGAAAACATCTGACCTGACAGTTGAGGAGCTGAAACGCTGGCTTGCTTGTCGCGGTGCAAGCCGCAAGAGACACAAAGCTGAATTGGTGAAATGGTAAGTCCCATCATTTTTCGAACTTTGTCTAGTGTTCTCTGCTGGACTTTGCCCAGCATCCTGGGCCAAGTTTCTTAAACCTTCTCTCTCTCTCTCTCTCTCTCTCTCTCCACTATCTCTCCTACAAAGTGGAAAATTACAAGACTGGCTTCGAAAGTGAGCTTGTCGACCCTGATAGAGGTGCTAATGTGGAGCGAAAATGGCAGCAACTCACGACGTCTGGCCATCCTGAAATTCGATTTCCTGAATCAAATTGGAGGCAATTTTTGAAGAATTTGCCTCCTGTTTGATTCCCTGCGATATTTGAGCATGTCATGGAGAACTCGTTAGTACCGTCTGGTCGGAATAACCTCGCTGAGACCGACTCTGAGCTGTTCTCCTCATTCCAAGGAATGGACAAGGGGTACAATTTTTTTCAAATCTGGCCACATGCAGAACAGTGAAATG